CTTTAAGAAAGGCGACAACGCTCTCTTGAAGAACTACAGACCGATTTCCCTTCTGAGCCGCGTCTACGTGCTGTTTTCGAGAGTCATTACGAATCGTCTCGCACGCAGACTCGACGACTTCCAGCCTCCCGAACAAGCCGGTTTCCGAACAGGCTTCAGTACCATAGACCACATACATACCCTACGGCAGATTGTACAGAAGACTGAAGAGTACAATTTGCCACTTTGCCTGGCGTATGTGGACTATGAGAAAGCCTTTGATTCCGTTGAAATTTCGGCGGTGCTGCAGTCCCTTCAGCGGTGCCAAGTTGACTGTCGGTATATCGAAGTGCTGAAGTGTTTGTACAGTAGGGCTACGATGGCTATCCGAGTACAGAACCAGAGCTCGAAACCTATCCAACTGCAGAGAGGTGTAAGACAGGGTGACGTTATATCCCCGAAACTCTTCACCGCTGCTTTGGAAGACGTTTTCAAGCTACTGGACTGGAAAGGATACGGTATTAACATCAATGGCGAGTACATCACTCACCTTCGATTTGCCGACGATATAGTCCTTATGGCAGAATCGCTGGAGGACTTAAGCACTATGCTCAATGACCTCAATAGTGCCTCCCAACGGATAGGTCTTAAGATGAACATGGACAAAACAAAGATCATGTTTAATGTCCATGTCACACCTATGCCGGTAGTTGTTGGGAGCACTATGCTCGAAGTTGTTGACGAGTACGTTTACCTGGGACAAATAGTCCGACTTGGTAGGTCCAACTTCGACCGAGAGGTCAATCGACGGATTCAACTCGGCTGGGCAGCGTTCGGGAAATTACGACACATCTTCTCGTCAGGTATAACCTCAATCTCTGAAAACTAAAGTGTACAACCAGTGCGTGTTGCCAGTGATGACTTACGGATCAGAGACGTGGTCCTTCACTGCTGGCCGTATGAGGACGCTCAAGGTCGCTCAGCGAGCTATGGAGAGGGCTATGCTCGGAGTTTCTCTGCGTGATAGACTCAGAAATGAGGATATCCGCAGTAAAACCAGAGTGACCGACATAGCCCAACGGATTAGTAAGCTGAAGTGGCAATGGGCCGGCCGTATAGCTCGAAGAACCGATAACCGATGGGGAAGAAAGGTTCTCGAGTGGCAGCCTCGTACCGGTAGGCGTAGTGTAGGGCGACCCCCCACTAGATGGAGTGACGACCTGGTAAGATATGCAGGAAGTCGATGGATGCAGGTGGCTCAGGACCGTGCTTTGTGGCATTACTTGGGGGAGGCCTATGTTCAGCAGTGGACTTGTGAAGGGCTGTGATGATGATGATGATGATGAAAGAGGAATGTGAAATTAAAGGTCTCCGTTTGAATGCTAATAAAACTAAGGTTCTGGTATTTGAAAAGGACGAAGAGAGAACGAAATGTGAAATATGGGTAAATCAGGAATGTCTAGAACAGGTAAATGAAATTGTATACTTGGGGAGTGCTTTCAGCCGGGATGGAAGATGTGATTTAGATGTGGATAGGCGTGTCGCTGCCGGAAACAATGCAGTCAATCAATGGTGCCCTGAATGCATTAGTAAAAAAGGCAAGGCGTGGTGAAGAGTGCACGCCTTGCAATACATAATGCAGTGTTGGTACTGACTTTGTTATATGGCAGCGAAACCTGGGTAAGCCAGAAGAAGCATAAAAGCAAGTTGAATGCAGTGGAGATGCTATCTCTTCGTAAAATGTGTGGCGTTACCTTAGCCGACCGAAAGCGAAACGAAGAGATTCGCAATATGGCAGGATTGAAAGATGACCTTATCACAAAAATTGATAGGGGCGTACTTCAATGGTTTGGGCACGTTGAACGAATGAGTGAAGACCGAATGGTGAAGAAAATATATAGAGCGAAAGTAAATATTAAAAGGTGTCGAGGTAGACCGAGACTAACTTTCGAAGACCATGTGAGCAAATTGCTCGAAGAGGTGAGGGTCAAGAGTACTCGGATACCTAGACGTGCATGTATGAAGAAGTTAATGAACCTGAAGGAAGCGAAAGAGGTATGTAAGGATCGTGACACTTGGCGATCTGTTCTCTCTGGCTACCCCGTTAGGGATTGTGCGTGAAGATAAGTAAAGTAAGTAAAGTAAAGTAAAGTATTACCCTCAGAATACTGTCGGCGCAGTTCTTTGTTCTGCTTAGTATCGATGCTTTTTTGCGCATTATTGCGTCACACCCGTCGATATATCAAACTCGTTTACATTTTCCACATGACGTTAAGTTGTTAACTTAAATCCAATCTCATAAAAGAAGAATACAGAGGCATCGTCTCATCACCCTTAAAACAAGTTGAAATGCTTCACGACCTGTTACTATTTTGCTTCTCAATATTCATCAGATCGGAACAGCAATGGATGCGTTGCTGTTTGGCAGAAATACGCGGAAAGTGGTTCCCACCCAGATGGACATCCAAAGCAGAAAAGAAGTCACCATTGAAATAATACTAGTTTTTACGGAATTTATCGCGTATATTTTAACTTTTTAAATACCCGACGTTTCGAACGCTTTACAGCACTCATGGTCACGGGCAGGACTGAGATGCTCAACGTCCATATGTCATAGTTAACCGCGGTTACCATAGATTAAAATTTAATATAGTAGATAATTTCTTCGTACGGTAATTTGCGGGGTGTAATTGCAAAGTTGAGGCCTTTGGATAAAACCCTAATTGTTGCATCATCCAGTGTTTGTTTTGACAGATTATAGAGCGCGATTAATCTATGATCTGTGTTTGTCAATGGTTGCTTTCAGTTCTGGCATTGATTCAGATGTTTGACATTTGACTTGTTCGTTAATTTTTGATATTTTTCTATATGTTTGTTTTTGCATTCATTATATTTACTAATTTCGCGTTTATTTAATGTTTCCATGCAAAAATTATAGTCAAACGTCGTTAAAACTTTCTTCAATTCACTGGATGATGTGTCTATGGATTTTTTTATGTCATATAGATCGGAGCGTTTTTGTTGGATTACCGTCCGTAACAACTTTTTATCTCTCTTATCTTAGCGCTTCCTCGAATGTCCTTTTGGTTGATATTTTAACACACGTGGGAATGAGATTATGGTTACGGCATCTCTTCAAGAAATTTAAGGCTGTTAGATATCTTGCGCGCTTGGTCTTTAGATCTTCTAATCGGCGTATTTTATTTGCAATTACCAGTCCGTACTAGTTTACATAATGATTTCTTATATTTACGCGAACACTACACATTGAAATAATACTAGTTTTTACGGAATTTATCGCGTATATTTTAACTTTTTAAATACCCGACGTTTCGAACGCTTTACAGCACTCATGGTCACGGGCAGGACTGAGATGTTCAACGTCCATATGTCATAGTTAACCGCGGTTACCATAGATTAAAATTTAACTTTTGTTCCGATCTATGCAGTATGAACTTATGGCATCTTGAAGTCTTGCAGTTGTATGCTTGGGTTGGGATTTAGTTTTATTTATTATAGGATCCCAAGCAGATGGTAGCACCCAGCCATCTTCTCTATTGAAATTAGGATGTTTTTTGATTTCAATAGCCTCGCGAATCATCCTTGGAAGGAATCGGTGTTCTTTAGGCAGTAAGGCTTAATGTCTAGTGTTCGCGTAAATATAAGAAATCATTATGTAAACCAGTAAAGAAGTCACCACCTAGCATATTGTTGCAGAATGAAGTTCTCTCTATGCATGAAGGAAGGTTATTAGGAAGGGATAGATCATTGAGTTATAATGTACTACGTACTAGAGAAGCTATTCCAAACAAAAATTGTGCGCTACTTCTATGTCTTCGCGCATGCGCGGTAATAGTAGAGTCGCGCATGCGCAGTTGGTATAAACGCGCTTTGCGCTTGCGCGGTCAGTTTTTGTTATTATAGATTATACGTAAGTAGAATGGTCAGTATGTAATAATTGTTTATTTATATTGTATTGTTAATTATATCGAGTACTTACAATTTTTTAAATTGTTTTTTATTTTGTATATGTGCTAATTTAATATAATATTACATAATATTATGTCAGAATTACATTTTGATGATATTGTTATCTGAATATTTTAAAAGGTATCTATGTCAAATATAAAAAAACGTACTAAATGTATGTTTAACAAAACTTATTAACATAAAATTTAAATTACAAATATATTTATTTAAATTAGAATCATAAATGTTGTAAATAATCGTTCATAAATGCTGGGCACGCGAGAGTTAAAAATGGACGAATTTATTCCACTTTGACTTTGAAGTGGAAACCTAAAAATAAAATAAAAGAATAATAAGCAGATTTAAACATGAAAAATTTAGCTTAATTATAATAACTTATATGTTTCTACAAAAAAAATGTGTAGTATAATAATATATTCGTCCTAAACTTAAGTACCCACAGAAATGTCGCATCTGAACATATTAATTTCATAATCTATATTCAATGATACGAGATGGCGTCTTAGGAATAATTTGCTTTATTATTAATTTATAATACTTTTTTTATTGAATAATTATCTTATTAACCGATGAAAAGTAATTCCTTGGTTTTTACTGACATTTCTTGAATTATTTGTGATATATCTAAGTACACAAGACGGCATATTTTTATCAAGAGATTTTTTTTAAAGCAACACAACACGTGACAGCTCTACAAGCGTCTAGCGAGTGACTGATTAAAGTGCAGTGCATGCACCGCAGTTGAGTGGAACAGAGTAGCTGAATGCAGTGTCTCCTCTAGTACGTAGTACATAATAGCTCAATGGGATAGATGAAAACTTTTCGTTCATTTTAGTTTCAAATCATATATCACCTACTAATGGTTAATAAATTCCTTATGCCATCATCGCGTTGGAAAAAGTTAATGTGTTAAAGTTTTAATAAATAAATTTTTATAAAAGTTTAATGAAATTTACTTTATCCAATAAAGACATGTAGCAATTACTTTTAGCATCAAACAGAATTAGCTGTTGTTTACATTATCGTATTGCTTAAAAATATAATGTTCTTGTTAAATAATAAGGTGAGTCGGACCATATCTTTCCAGTTCTATAGTTTACATCGTAGCCGCCTAAGAACACTCTCTCCTCGCGCGATAGTTGGAAATTAAACACGTCCATGTTATCTTCTATTCTCGACTCCGTTATCGATTTCGGTATAGGGATAGCTCCGAGTTCAATCTGTGAAAATAATGTTTTATATTAATAAAATTATATCATAAAAATGTTTACTATTTTTTAGAGATTTCTTCAAAGATCTAAGAGCTATAACTGAGCACACAGTCCACCTGGTAGTAAGTGGACTCTGTGGCTTATAAACTCATCTATCCTCGACTGACATCAAAATCGGAAATCGCATCAGTATGCGTTGACATTAAGTGCTTGGCCAGACTACAAACGCGGGTGCGGGTGCGGGCGCGACGTGACTGTCCGCAGTTCAGTGCGGCTTCGTTCCGAGTGTTGTCGTGATCAGTGTTTGTTAAACTATAATATGGATGAAGAAGACTAATTTTCACTGGAAAGTTCTAACTTTGAATGGAAAATTTTACAAGTAAAAAATGGAATTAATGAAATGAATTTACCCAGACAAAATGATGGAGAATTTCACACACTTTATGGAAAATTGCGAGCACAAAATCAAACTTTTTTTGGATATAGGAGAATATCAATGAATACGTTTGACTTTGTATTAGAAAACTTAGCTAATCGATTTATAAAATAAATTATTTTACATTTATTTCGAAAGACGCCACTACATTAGAGGAATTTATTCTATAAGACAATTTACTATGTTCTTTATTTATTATATTCTCCTATATCCAAAAACTTTTGAGTTTGCGCTCGTAATTTTACATTTAGTGTGTGAAATTCTTCATTTTCTCTGGTTAAATTGATTTCATTAATTCCATTTTGCATTTGTAGAATTTGGCACTTAAAGTAAGAACTTTCCAAGAAAAATAAGTCTTCTTCACCAATATTACACTTTGGAAAACACTGATCACGGCAACACTCGGAACGAAGCCGCACTCGAATGCAGACAGTCACGTCGCACCCGCACCCGCACCCGCGTTTGCAGTCTGGCCAAGCACTTAGACTAACGTTGAATGATTTCTTTGTCTAAGATTGCTATTTCAAAATATAGTTCAATTATTCTATTGTTATTTTTTACAAATCTACGTAACCTAATCCTCAAGGTTGTATATATGTATAGTATCATATATTTATGGTTTGGATAATTAAAATCCTCTGTCACGGTAGCTAGAATTGACGGAAACGAGCCATTTGCGTAGGACTAGAAAATAGCATACAAATTTGTGTACAAGTAGCAAGTACAAGTGCACTCTTTGAACCCTAGATCTCATAGTCGGATGGGACGACAATTCGAAACGACTGGAGGCAGATTTGTCGATGGATCAACAGCTTTACATGCTTTCAAGCACGTAAAATGAAACACTGCCAACTTCGTGACTTCATTCCTACTGATAATTTCGGGACCCAGGGCTTACGACCAACGAGACAAATAAAAATAATACAGGAGCAACAAAAAAGTGAAGTTATCTCCTATTACAAGTCTAAAAATTTAACAATGGCCTTCTCTTATTTCAATAAGTCCTCCCTTTAATTAGTTATACATAATTCCAGTGCATTCATTCTACTCCACTTGCACACACTCCATCGCATGCCGGCAGAATTATAGGAATTCTCTTGTCCTCGAAGTATTCCTCATACATGTGATACTTACTTAGCAACTGACAATGCGATAAATGTTATATAAGACTGAGCACAAATTCAACTATCAAGCTATTACGCCAAATCTTTTACAATGGAAGAAGCTTGAAGAAACGGCCTTAGCTATCCGAGCGAAAAATTCGCAACCCCCCTCCACCCCCTTTTAAATTCGTATTCCAGTGCCTGATAAGTATCTAGGATTTAGTACAATATTGCATATTGTTACTTGGTTATAATATGAGGCTGATTCGTGGCTTAAGGTACCTTGCCCTACCCCTGGATGTCTACGCCCTGGGCGATCGCCTAGGTGTCTTAAAGCTGCTATTGGAGGCCTATATAAAGTTGTGGGCGTTATAAACTGAAAAAGATGAAGACATATACAACCAGTGGTTTAACAATTAGTTACCAGATGTCTCAAGACGATTTGTGGCACCGTCTTGTTGTGGTTGTCAGCTATCTGCTTGAGGACAGGGTCATCGACGCGCGGCGGCGGCGCGCCCGGCAGGGCTTGGTGGTGATAAATGGATCCGAAGGGTGAATAAGCCATTACAGCTATATCATTTTCACGGCAATACTTCAGCAGAGAAGGTTGCTGTATTTGCAAGTTTAGCTGAAATCGTATGTAAAATTTACTAAAAATATAAGTAAGTAGATACATATTATGTGAGCGGTTAAATATAAATTAATAAAACTAGAAATATAGAGTAACAACTGCATATAAAATAAAAAAATCCACTTATAGAATTGATAACTATATTAAAGATAATGATGTGTGGGAAAACTACGCTGGACTTGAATTACTTCTACACTATACCACATAGGTACTACATACCTCAAACTGCGCCACCGCCGGCTTAACGTTTGAATTTTTAATAACCCTCTCTATCATATGCGGATTAAAATTTGACACTCCTATAGATTTAGCCAGGCCTAGCCGCTTAGCTTCGATCATGCCTTCCCAAGTCTCTAGGTAGTCGGTAAGGTCATATGTGCCGTTTTCCTGTAATTAAAGTTGTAAGACACTGTTTTTCTTATATAATAAAGAATATACTTAATATCGTACATGCTCGTCGGTTAAGGAGTACCCTTAACCGACGAGTTAGGATCGTGCCAAATGGAAGTCTGTAGTCTCTGTAAAGGTGTATGGTGGGTGGTAAAATGATAGTCTATTTTCACACTTATCTTTTTTTATTGCGCTGGTACACACAGTAATTACAGTCTAACAACAGCACAATATAGATGGTACGAATGAGAAGACAGGAACACAGTACAATAAGAGAAAGAGAATTTAGCGCGGGTCTCAGATTAACAATAGATATGGACACATGCGACGTGCAACGCGGAAGCGGACGAACTGGCGATCTCGTTGCCCCGAAGGCGCGGCCTAACGACCGAACTTTTTTTTTTAAAATATAAATTAATAATAGTTTAAAATTAAAGTATAAAAATACGAACATTTTTGCATTTTCAACAATTAAAATATAAAATATAAAACTCGCCACATCTCTGCCTGCCCCTCTGGGTGACAGGCGTGAGTGTTTATATATGTATGTATACTTAATGTCAACCTAAATATTAAAATATAATTCTGCTTCTTCATTAGCCCGAAATAATCTAATCAGCAGGAGTACAGCAGTAGCCGAAAAATCATACTGGTTTTTACAAATGTTAGACAGGGTGACGTTCCCTCTGATGACGCCATTACAAGGCAAATTGTATTAGGTAAATCTTTAAATTCAAAGAATTATTTCTTAAAAACACACATATGTATATTAAACTAATTATTTTAAACTGAGCAATACTGCGGCATCAATAGGTTGGTTCCCTATATTATTACATGTATATAATTATGTACTTATATTAGAAAGACGACTCGAATGGTTAAGTGAAGTACATAACTTCTATAGATAAAATAACAACGTAATACTACTTTTACTTTGCTTCATATGTTTAGTGACGGGAACTGTGTTAAGTCTTATTCCTCGGAGATAAGAACGCATCTGTTTGTCATTAAACATATAGATTAACGTTGTATAAAATAAATTACAGAAACTCACAAATTGTCCGACGGGGAAGTGTATGAGGTACAAGTCCACGTAATCCATAGAAAGCTTTTCTAAAGACCTGCGCAAAGCAGGCACCACAGCATCGCGTGCGTGTGCATCGTTCCAAAGCTGTTAAAATAAAAACAAAATGAAGAAACGGTACCTACTATGAAAAGTACAATATGTAAATGCTATAAGCTCGTTTCTCTAATATTGAATAATCATAATTTTAACGGATTTCATTGCCTTTATTTAAATTTAAGCTTTCTTCTCGAAGTTTCGAGTACGTTCCTTATCAAGGGATCCACAGAAATCTAAATAATAAGTATTTAATTTAAATAATAAGTATTTAGATTTCTGTTAGGGGAACCATGGGTGTTACATAGCACTCCATGCTTATAAAAAAGATATTCCATGCATAGCACTAAAAACGTTATGGTGACAATATACCTACTGCTGCAAGTTTAGACTTGCACAAATAAACGCGATTCCGAAGTGACCATAGACGGTTCAAGTACGTACGATTGAAAAATACCATATCTGTGAAAGTGAGCGTCCAGGTGTGTTGTACGATGGATGACGCTTTGGCAATAAGTGGGTTATTTGCTACAAAAAAAAATTGAAGAGACTTAAAAGAAACCAATCTCTATGGTGTAAAGACTGAACTTCGAAATCCGAATGCGGTGCTGCCACACACGTTCGAGTACCTACATAAACTTGCACAAAAGCAAATTTGCACAAGTTTCAGAATTCAAAATTGAATTTTTTTTAAATATAGGATAAGGGTGACAAACGAGCACACCGTCCACCTGATGGTAAGTGGTTGCTGTGGCCCATAGACATCTACATCTATTCTCGATTACGAATCCCGATTCAGATTCTGATTCAGATGCGTTGTCACCCGTGAGGACTAAGATGGAATGCCTCGTTTCCAGTAAAATGGGTCTCCGGTTCTCTACACTCACCATACAAAACACAGCGGCGTTGAGCTGCTGTTTTACGCTGGTATTCTGTGAGAGCGTGATCCTTCCCCGATCGAGCCGACCTATTTCTGCTATACTAATACTACTAATAGCGCTCCAGCATGGCTCTACCACGTCAAAAACTTGTAAAAATTTACAATTATAGTCAACCAAATCTAAGAAATACATTTTGACAGCTGTCAGACTTATTGCACCAAGCATGCCAACCAAAAAATGTTCGATTCTTAGAAAAATCATTATCGATTGTTTATAGTTGGTAATCATTTACAGTTTGGTTTGAATAATACCAGAATAAATTAAAAACGGATAGCTTAAAACACAAAATTTATCACTTTCTTCGTATTTGTTGTTACTGCTTATTTCTAGAGGCACAGTTTTAAAAATTTAAGATTGAAACTAGATTAAAAATACATTTATTCACACTTTCAGTATAGCTACTTGAGTTGTCGTTGTTTAGATCAGTTATTATTTGATTTTCAATAATGCAGTCAAAATTAATGTCTCCTTCAAAGTCATCCACAATCGATTTTTTGTTTTTCCCCACACTTTTTCCCAATCATCCTTTGGGACATGGGCACATGCTTCAACGAATATAGAAGAAACTGTGAAAGTTAAAGCCAAATCACAAAATAAAAAGACAAACACAAAATCACAAAATTACGCATAGTAAGCTCCCGAAATGGTGGAAGATTGAAATTACGTGGTGGTTTCTTCAGCGCGGCCTTGTATATGAGTTATTTTGCTTACACAAATTTACGTTGACAAAGTAAAAAAAATAAATAAACTTGTTTTATTCAAGATTCATAAGAAATTTTAAAAATAAGAATTTAATTAAATAAATAATACATTAATAAATTAATGATTCGATTATTTGAATATTTTACCGATTATTCGCATAACAATGAAAAATTCATTCAATTATCCAAACACTATGGTAAGGTTTATAGCGACACATCATTGAAACGACGTCAAGTAAAATAATTTATACTGGTGATTTTTTAAAATATTTTGCTTCGTTTGAAAGATTCGAATTTAAATTAGTTATAAAAAACTATACACGTTGTAATGAAATATAGAAAACTTCATAATTCTTCGAATTTATGTAAAAGGTTATTTTAAATCGTGTGAGTACGCTTGTGCAAAGTTAATGCTGAATGATTAATGTGAAACGTCAAAAGGTATTTCTTAGATTTGGTTGACTATAGTGTAAAAATCTTCCAACACACGTTTCTGTTGTACGGGTTTTTTTGTATATCAATGATGGCTACCATAAGGAGTAAATAAGAAATCATCAGTATATTTTAAATAGGCAGTACATACCACTAATTATAAAATTTAATATTTGACCAAATGTTAGCACGATGATGATTCGAGCCAGCCAATACACTGGTTTCAATTCTATAGTTGGGCACGTCTGTCAATGACCAACAAAAAGGCCTTCTAACCGTCTGTCGATGTCGTTTTTCATGTAAGATTTTATTTTCTCGATATAAAAATCCCATGTGCTAAACAAATAATGTTTACTTAGATATCTGATTTCAATCTACACATTGAATAGGTAACATACGTACAAACATTTTTACAAACATTCAAATATATATAGGATATACAATCATAATGAATGAACTATTAATTATCTAATTACGATCGGATTACGATAGTATTTTGGTGAATTGTGCGCACGCCAGTAAATGTTCGTGCCGATAAACGCACTGCAACAAATGCCACGCACTGTTAGGCCTGGTTTACATTTTGAGAAGTGACAAGTGCGAGTGACAACTGACAAGTGGCAAATGAGAAGTGACAAGTGCGTATTTTATTCCCTTATCACTTGGCATTGCCTGTTCACACGCACTAAGCACTTGTCAGTTGCACTTGTCACTCGCACTTGTCACTTCGCAAAATGTAAACCGGGCCTTAAGGATTTTTTTTTCTTTTTGTACTGCGTGTACGAAAATTGACGTCGCAAAGAAAACGCTTGGTAGGTATATGGACGCCAATTGAATATCAAAAACAAAACAACAACTATGAGTTTTGTTGAAAAATGGCAGAAGGTTAAATTCCAGTTTTAAATATCTTTATACAGCCTAACTTATACCTATGACTAATTGTTATTTACAATAATAAATATGAAATGGTACCTTATCTGTTATGAAAACATCTTCTCTCTTTATGGCTCCTTCAGCAATCTTTCTTTGAATACCTCGACCCAGCTATTGGAAAAAAGTTACATAAATTTATTAAAGACAATTACCAGTCTTCGTCATCCGATCTACTTGGACTAGGAGGACCTCTTTGAATTTGCACTGCTTTGACGTAGTCACTTTGTTTAGTAGGTGGCTACACCTCGGCGCGAAAATGGTTATTTTAGAGACTTATACGAAATGCTTAGTGAAAGCACTGCTAGGCAAAGGCCTCTTTTCTCTTCTGAGAAAGTTTTGGAGCATCACTGAGTCACGCTGCCCAAAAATTCAACTATTCCTCAAAACATTTTTAATTTCTTGGTCATGCTGGTCTCTTGCTGCAGGTTTACTCTCTCTTGATCTCATAAGAAATAAAAGCAGTTTCGTCTACCTAATTAGAATAGTTATATATAATAGTTAGTTTAGTCTTAGAAACATTAATTAACTTTACTGATAACTGATATCTAAATCTAAAAAACAAGAATTAAAAAAAAATACTCTCAAACACTTTATGTGTATTACATCCGCTAGCTATAACTACTTAATAGATTTTATACAATTCGGCCTAGGTTTTTTCTACCTACCGAAGCCGATTTGCCTTGGCTAGGTCTTATTACTTTATATCATTTGTGGACACAAAAAAGTACTGGTAATTGCTTGTTTACAATATAATACTTACTTTTTTATTTAACAAGTATGGACAAAATATTTATACTTGGAAAAAATTTAATAAAGTATTTATTACTTGGAAAAATATTTTCACAAGATTTTTTTTGCGGTGATCATTTTAACCACACATATGATAAAAACGATGTTGCATACTTCTTATGCGTTGTGATAATTATAATCAGTATTGGTTATAGCATTCCAGTGAGAACTATTTGAATCAATTTTTTATTTATTTAATTATTGCATGATAAATTTCAAAAATTTGATTTCGACATTTGTTTACTAAATAAATAAAATATTAAAGTAGCGCTGTTTTAGTTATCTATTATTTTAGCACAAAATAAATAATAGTACTACGTACAGAAGTTTCACTCTTTTAATGTTGACTGCTTGCCGACGTTTAATAGCCTACATAATTATTATTAATTAGATAAATCGCGCTCGCAAGCTAAATAAAACTTTATCGCTGCGCGAGAGTGTTCGTATTACTTTGCACATTTTCCTACTCCTACGTTACGGTGGACTTTCCGTTGTTATGGAGGGATGTCAATAAAGAGTAACAAAATATGCGAAATATTAATTAGGTTATTTAAGTGAAATACCTATTCTGACTATGATCGACAGACCATATTTTCGCACCTACGTGAGTTCTGCGATGCCTAACGCATGCAACTTGCAAGGCAATTCGTCGGAAATCGCGACGCTTGGCTCGGAAGGAAAAGGTAGATAGTTTAAACAACAAACAAACTTGAAATACGATTCCTAACAGAAATGTAATCGTATTCCACTTAGTCAAAAATTTTGTAATTTGTTTTGGTAAACACAGTTTTGATTTCAGTGTTTTGTGTTATATTAGCTTAAAATATTTTAAGCTAAAATAACGGCTTAAAATATTTTAATACAAAAGGCAAGTATATGTACGTAAGTAGATACTTGGATAGTGAAGTAAATTTCCACTAAATTTTGTAATAAAGTTTGTAGATACTAAATAAATTATTACTTAATTCTTTTTTGCTGTAAGTACCGATCTAGCAATAAAAATTAAATAAATTCACATTTCATAACTTACTACTAAAATCCTTCGGTAATAAAGAATGATATATCTGAAATATTTTGTTGGTTATTTAGCGTCTATCCACGCAACAATTATAGTAGGAACGACATTTTTCCATATTAAATTTTATTAAATAATGGGTAATATACATAATATATAGTTCTTAAATTACATTAAAACTTTTGAACTATATTATCCTTTATTAATTATACTAAACACTAAACAAAAACTATTTCAACAATATTTACAAAACATTATATACGTAAACAGCGTCAAAGAATATATACACTACGCGAATAAAAAACTTTAACATTCTATCGCCTCCAACGCGCTAGCCCTGACTGCGTTATTTCGCTCGGGCGCGTCGCGATTTTAGGTAATTATTTCACGTAGGTAGCAAGAGTGATAGAGGCCTGGCATAAGTAGCATATGTGCATAAGGCCTGGCATAAGTGCTCTTTAGGAGCACGTATACAAAATTTCAACTAAAAATGTTCAGAAACAAAAAAGTTATAGGTACAGTTTTGAGACGGAACGCACCGTTTGGTCCCATAGTGCGTCGCGCCGCCGGTGGCACATGAGTAGATAAACGGATTATCTACTCATGTGCTGGTGGCCCGTGTTGCTTTATGCTTGGGTCTTATCATAATGATAAGAACACTAGAAATAAGTGATAATTACGAGTATACCCGTACTTACAATTTAAATGAGGGTGTTGTTTTCAACATGCTCCGAACGGAAGTAAACAAACCGAGTGAGGGAGAAAGTAGCTGCATAAGCTCTTTCTCGTTTGCGTCTATGCCAGCGCCGTGGTTCGGGGATAAGGAAAATATCATCTAATATTATTGTAGAAGCAGCATTATCCTATATTACTGGATCCATTATGTACTTACCTATAAAGATATAGAAGATACGATTTGTATGGAATCGAGTAAAACGAAAGAAGACGGAGGTATTGCGATTGTAACTGACAATATGTTTACATGATATGTAGTGAGTTTTAAGGGTAAAATAACAAAAAAATAAATACTAATTAATATCTGTAACAAAATATATAAATACATCAACAAAAGATTGTCGTATATTTTATCTCACCGCTTCTTCCGTTTGGTAGATCACGCCAACATCAAAAAGTCGGTAACCAGCATCGACTGCCCAGACCACGGCTTGCTCCATTTTATCGGGAAACACTTCTGCCGCATGCGTCTAAGAAAATTAGAAATAGATAAAGGTAAGTAATAGGTTTTTCTTCGCATAACCATACTATTATTTATTCTGTGGCACAACTTCCTTGTGGAATCGAATACCTCCACCGATTTTTCCGAACCGATACGACTTAGGGATCTTCAAGAAAAGAGCTTACTCTTTCTAAAAGGCCAGCCGCATTCGTGGGCGGCGTTAGTCATTTACCATCTGATGAGCTGCATGCTCGTTTACCCCCTCTCATATAAGTATAAAAATATGTGTATGTTAAAAAACTGTTTCATATAACTACAGAAATAAAAACTCTAGTCTTCGTCATAAGCAAGACAGAAACAACGAAATAATAATAAAAAGAGAAAAACGAACTTAATAATATCATATAATCCACAGATTTTGTGTTCTGTGCTGGTTGTCGTTCTAAATCCTTACCTTCTATAGTTTCTATAGATAGATGGTCATCAACTACGTAGTATAGTGAGCTTTTTAACTTGGTAAACGAAATTAGTATAAACACATCTGATATAAATACACATGATCTTATCAACATATCCCAAGCTTCCGCCTCATAACTCAAAAAACATCCGGGGATTAAAATGTGGTATTGGATTATTTTTCACCGCACCCACACGACATTTTTTCAATAAATAGTAAAAACTTTGAGTTAGATATGAAATCATGGAATTCTGTAATCTAAATTTTATTGACTTGACACTGGCAGAATTCTATCAAGAGAAGCCATAATTAAAAAAAGGAAGAATTTTATTGACACACTATAAAAAAAAAATAAAATTAGCGATCCGCCTTGGCTTGATACGGATGATTTTTGGATCTCGACAACAGCGCTACCGACTGGATCCAAATATATATATCATCAAAATCTGTTCAACTAACGGACAGCAATTGATTTTTACATAGCGATCATGTATACGAAAAAATTTTTTATAGGATAAGGGTGACAAACGAGCACGTAGTCCAACTGATGGTAAGTGGATGGTGTGGCCCATGGCTATCTACATTTAACCTCGATTAAGAATCAAAATGCTGATACGTTGTCACCCTTGGGGACTAAGATGGAATGCCTCGATTCCAGTAAAACGGGTATCCGGTTCTCTACACTCACCTTACTGCCAGCCACCTGCTTTTTTACGCTGGTTTTCTCTGAGAGCGTGGTCATTCCCCGGTCGAGCCGACCCATTTATGCTACAACCATAATAGCTGCAGCGCGGCTCTGCCACGTATAAAATTCCTTTTTACTCGTGTTCGTTTCTTACAGCCTATCAAAAGTCCACCACTGAACATAAACCTCCATAGTCTATAGTCACTAGTCGTCTCCACCTGCTTGTTAACAGCAAGAGCAAAGACACAGGCTCCACCTTTACAATCTTAGGTAAGACCATAGAGAATATAACCACTAGAGAGCGTATAGGCAGATTTCTTCTAAGCACACGACTCGCTACTGCGGGCCGGAGGACGAGGAAGAACGCGTGGCTGCAAATGGTCAAGTTGTGTTATTATGGCTAACGTTAGGGTTGCTCTTCTTAATAAAGGAAAATGTTCGATATCGATAAAATGGATTTTATCATTAGAAAAATACTCAATTAAGATCATAGAAATAATATTTAATCAAAATCAATCAGTTATAACGAAAACATGTATTTATTATATTAGGTAAGACCTATCATGTCCTACGCAAGCGTTGTTTTGGCGCACGCTGACAATCGCCATTTATACGATCTCCAAGTCGTCCAAAATAGATTCATTCGCATAGCCACCGGAGCTCGGTGGTATCAGCAAAACTCCGTCTTGCACTGATACTGTCATCACACGACGATCGCTGAATATTTCAAGGAAATGTCTCAGCGTTACCTACGCCCGGACTCCAAACGTTACGGAAACTCTCCGGAAGCCTCGCAACGTTTTAATCGAAGAAGAAAAATACATACCGTATTTTGCATGCCAAACCATGTGCCTAAGCCAATGCCTGGCATCCTACGTCCATCGTTAAGCTGATACCAAGGGACTGTCGAGGCGCAAACACTCTGAAATAAAAGGGTAAAGTAAAATAGCGGCATGTTATATACGTCTCACAGGTCTGTTCTCTTTTTGAAATGTTATAGGGCAGTGAGTCTGTCATAATGTCCTCAAAATTTTTCTATTTCTCGAACATGCATGTTTTTTACAATATTTTCCTTCACTGCCGAGCACATGCTAAATTAATACTTATTTAAAATTGCAATTAACAATTTAATTGGTAGCAGCGCGGTTCCTATTCAGGTAGCTCTTCGACTCTGAGCTATATCAATTTGACTCTCTGAGAGTAAAAGAATTAAAAAATTTCTATTAATGACGAGGTCTTCACTGTAATTAAAACACTGTTTTTACGAGTATAATATATTACCTAATATAATATACTACCTTCTGTAATAATACATATCGTGCTAGGTAATATTTACCGTGTAGGAGTCTGCCTAAGTAGGTATCAAATTGTTTCCTATTTCTGACGTCAAAAAATAAATACCTAACAGTGCTTGCCCTGCGATTTTCTGGTCTGAAGTGTATAAGAATGGCGGTATAATTACACGCTATGAGGCTTTTCATGTTAATTTTCAGTACCTGGATGACCGAGCTTTGCTCGGTTTTTTTTTAAATTACATTTAGATACAAATTACATACTAATGAAATATGAATAATATTTTTTGATCTTATTGACATAATAGAAAAAACTGAACCGGTTATTTGAATAAAAAATCATGAGTGCAATTAGTTTAATTAAAATTTTCGTATTTTTAAGAAATACTAAAAAAGGGCTCGAAATAAAAGATTTTCTCACAAAAGAAGGGAGCTTGAAAAAAAAAGGAAAATAGTCGGACCGAAGACAGGACGCGAACCAAGACATTACGATTTCGCAATCGCTCGATATCCACTTGAGCTATTGCGGTCATTAACACAGTGTCAAAATTTATCTTCTTATATTGTAGCAGATTTTCATTGCCTGAAAACACGGACAAAAAGACATTTTCTAAAAATAAATCCTAGCTAGATCGATTTATTGCCCCCCGTAACTCCCTGGACACTAAATTTTATGAAAATCGTTGGAGCCGTTTCCGAGATTCCGACTATATATATATATATATATATATATATATATATATATATATATATATATATAAATATACATATATATATATATATAATATGTAATACTGTTAACTGCTACAATATCGTTAGAATAAGAAGGTAAATTTTGACAGTTTATTAATAATTACAAATAACTTAATTGGTATATTGGGCGGTCACAAAATCGTAATACCATGGTTGGAGCCCAGACCGACCGACCGACTTTATTTTAATTTTTTTTTTCAAGTTCCTTTCTTTTTTTGAGAAAATATATTTTTCGAGCCCTTTTTTTTAGTATTTTTTTAAAACACGAAGTTTTAAATGAAACTAATTGCACTCATGATTTTTTATTCAAATAACCAGTTCGGTATTTTCTATTATGTCGCTAAGATCAAAAAATATTATTCGTATTTCATCAGTATGTAATTTGTATCAAATATAATTTCCAAAACACACGAATTAAAAAAAAAACTGAGCGAAAAATACCGAGCAAAGCTCGGTCAACCGGGTACTATATATATATATATATATTATATATATATATATATATATACATATATATATATATATTATATATAATATATAATATATATATATATATGTATATATATATATATGTATATATATATATATATATATATATATATAGTACCCGGTTGACCGAGCTTTTGCTCGGTATTTTTCGCTCAGTTTTTTTTTAATTCGTGTGTTTTGGAAATTATATTTGATACAAATTACATACTGATGAAATACGAATAATATTTTTTGATCTTAGCGACATAATAGAAAATACCGAACTGGTTATTTGAATAAAAAATCATGAGTGCAATTAGTTTCATTTAAAACTTCGTGTTTTAAAAAAATACTAAAAAAGGGCTCGAAAAATATATTTTCTCAAAAAAGAAAGGAACTTGAAAAAAAAATTAAAATAAAGTCGGTCGGTCGGTCTGGGCCAACCATGGTATTACGATTTTGTGACCGCCCAATATACCAATTAAGTTATTTGTAATTATTAATAAACTGTCAAAATTTACCTTCTTATTCTAACGATATTGTAGCAGTTTTTCATTGCCTAAAAACACGGAAAAAAAGACATTTTCTAAAAGTAAATCCCAGCTAGATCGATTTATTGCCCCCGAAACTCCCTGCACACAAAATTTTATGAATATCGTTGGAGCCGTTTCCGAGATTCCGATTATATATATATATATATATATATATATATATATATATATATATGAATTGCTCATTTAAATTGTCTTAGTTTGAATTTGGTTACGGGTGTTCATGGGTTGCAGATTTGTCATTTAAACAATTAAACAACACAATGGTATCTACTGCAGTATACGGATACAGGACACCACCCACTTCGAACAAGAAAGACCACAGGTTGTCACCCTTGAAGACAATGTTATAAGATGAAATGCCTCTTAAGTTGTAGTATACTGTATCTTTCACTCTTCAAATCGAAACAAAGCACTGTATACACTACTGCGTGGTGACAGAAAAAGGTTATAAGGTGATGCATAAACAGACGGCAGAAAAAAAGCTTTTTTGATTTTATAGTTTACTATAGGTAGTACCTAGTAAACTATAAAATCAAGTAAGTGTTTTGATAAATTATCATACTCAAGTGAGTATGATAATTTATCAAAGCACTTACAATATTTAAAAAATGTACTAGGAAAACCGATAGAGCCTCTACACCCTGGAAGAGTAATATTTTTAGACATTAAGACGTTAACGAGACCTAGATATTTTGTAAATATTTTTAATAGTTATAATGTTTAAACAATAAAAAATAAAGTGTAGTAAACAAAACATATTTAAATATAGTAACTCAATCAAAAGGGGACTTACTGAAAGAAGCGATAGAACAAGGAGTACACCTATATGTTTTGTCGAACCCATATTAAATGAATAGGCTGCAGCTAGTCAGCCTTGCTGTATCCTGTCCGAATACAATATGAAATTGCAGTTCTCTTGTTGTTATTTAAATATATAATTGCTTGGAAACATTGCATTATCATTTCACTGATAAAAATCTGCACGGATCTTATCATTTAAGTACATAAATATCGAGTGTTTGAATTTTAATATGCAAATATAACTATAATCTGATAACTTCAGTAATTCTCATAATTATCCTTATACTTAGGTGACATTGAAATGACTGTACATAATTAGAAAATCAAAAACGGGCCTAAAGAAGCTGGTGCTACCTACCATTAAATAATGTATTCCTGCCTAAAAATAGTCGCGTTCAATATAACCACTGGGTAAGGCCTCATGCCCACTAAAGTCCAGTTGCGTGGCAGGAAGAATTTCGTACAATGATCTCATTGCCTACTGACAGTGCTCACAAACTTTTTTTGTGTCAAGTGTAGTTTATATGAAATATTTTAAGGTAAAACCTACGGCCTGTTCCCTGCCATTCTCCCGCAAGATGGCGCTGAAGTCAACATTTTTAGTTTATTTGGAGTTTTGTGTAATTTGAAAATTATTAAGTCGTAGGAGTAGACTTAGCGGTTATCGGATATTACATTTTATTGGAATGGGTCATATCATTACCTCAAAATCCACCCAATTCGACATTAATTTTGATTATAACATCTGTCATTAAATATAGGGTCGTTTACACACACAGACGTATCCCTACATTTACGAAGCTAGAACACTAGATGGCGTGTATGTAAAAAACAAGTCAAGTTTTTAATTTTTGTGTATGTGTAGATTGGGTAGGCAGAACTACAAAATGCTATGTACGATTGTTATAAAAATAAAATTTATATTTGTTGGCGTAAACTATTTAATTGATTTATAACTTTGGAAAATAAATTATGTCAACATTGATTACAATATAACGCAGTTTTATTTTATTACATTACGCTATTGAATTTTTTATCAAAACAGAAGTACCTATTTGAAGCAACATAATTATAATGATACATGCCTATTCACTCAAAACTAATAACACTGATGATTTGTAACAGTACCAATTATTACAATAATTAGACATTTCATAACCAACACGTAAGAAACTATAATTTACTCAAATCTTTAACACCATTTATTTTGTGATAATAACCAGGAAGTTTGAAAATAATATTTCCTAATTGCGAAGCACTCAACAAAAGCTTTTAGTAAAACAAAAATATAATCCTACGAGAATATATTACCTTATAAATATATATATATATATATATATATATATATATATATATATATATATATATATATATAATCGGAATCTCTGAAACGGCTCCAATGATTTTCATAAAATGTCGTTTTATCCCTGTTTCAGGCAATGAAAAACTGCTACAATATAAGAAGGTAAATTTTAACACTATAACAATGGTCGTAATAGCTCAAGTGGATAACGCACTGTCGCGAAATCGTAGTTCCATGGTTCGCGTCTTGTCTTAGGATTGACTTTTTTCCCTTTTTTTTCAAGTTCCCTTCTTTTGTGAGAAAATCTATTATTTCGAGCCCTTTTTGTAGTATTTTTTTAAAAATACGAAAATTTTATTGCACTCATGATTTTTCATTTTAATAACTAGTTCAGTATTTTTCTATTTTGTCGGTAAGATCAAAAAATATTCTTCATATTTTATCAGTATGTATTTTTAATCTAAATATAACTTCCAAAACACACGATTTCCAAAAAAAAAAAATACCGAGAAATGCTCGGTCATCCAGGTACTATACAATATAATATATACAAATCTTCCTTCAATTCTATATGAATAGGGTTGCGTTCGGAACACAAGATCTAGAACACTAAAATGTACAAAAATTTACTTATCTTTTTATTTCAATGTTATCTTTATATTCCTGGTAGAATTGGCCGACGAATAAGAAAAATATAACTCAGATTAGAATAAGCTATTTATTTATAAACAATAAAGCACAGAACAGAAAAAAGGATTTTATGTAATTGAATTATATTTGTTTCTGAACGCACCGTAAGGTATGACGTAGTGACGAGTGAACTTGAGCTCTACAAAATATAAAAAATGTGTGTCTGTCTGAAACTGTTTGCAAAATGCGTAAAGGATGTTTAATGTAACCCGGCAAAACCATATTTAGCAAATGTTTGCAAGTTTAATTTTGTGACTACTTTGGTAGTTTACCGATTTATAATAATTGTATTTATTGTTGACCAAAAACATATTCAAACACATTCATATATGAAACACTGACAAGTATGACGTAGGTAATCAGTATTGTGACGATATTTCAGAAAAATCACGGGCCAGCCTGCTGTTAATAATACTACCGAAAACATAATTGCGTTTTTAGAATAATTAATTACTATAACTACGATAAATTATAATATAGTCTCAAATATATACTAGAGAAATATTGCAATTCGAATCAATGAAAACATACATACAAAATATGTATAATACACAAGAAATTCCGCGGGCAAATCATAGCGTGTGACAACCGAAATCAGAATATTATATTTTACAAGTCAAACAAGTGAACGTACGTAAGTTTGGCAACGCTTTTGTTTCGTCAATTCAAGGTCAGGAATACGCTAGTACCGTAGACTTCTCTGTGTTACCTTTTGGTATTTATGTTGCCACACAACGATAATAAGTAATAAAATTGTTTACAAAAAAACATAGGTGTCTAAGGTCATTAGTTTTATGTTATTTTATACTGTTTTTTAACGGTTGGAAAGGAAATTAACCAATTATTGAACTTAAGATATTGATTTATCAGAATTATTTAAGATCACTTGGATGCCATCTAGCGTGCCAATGTTTAAACGTCGCCTTTCGTTTGCTTGTCAAAAGTCACGCACACTACTAAAGAAGTGTCAAATTTTTCCGGGATTTCACTATTGTTTTTCTCAGTATATAATGTAAGTTATTGTCTATAAAGGTCAGACGCGTACACATATCATTATAGAGAAGTGATAAAATGATTAGTTTTAAAGAAAGAGTGTCTGTGTTTAGTGTATATTTTGGTTAAAAAATGTATGGACGGACGGTCGACGCATCCACCTTAAGGAGAAAAAAAATAAATTTACTAACGTATTAAATAAATTATTAGTATTATATAACTTGTTTATTTTGATTTTAGTATAAAAATCGAGATACAATTATTAATTTGGCAGAAATAAAAAAAGAAAAATTCAAACTTCAGAATCTGATTTCTTTGTATCGGAGTTACTGCTTTCTGATGACGTCCCGGCTGTCACATTTATTACAAAAGAATCAACAGTTTTGTCTACATTAAACTTAACAAATTAACAAAACCACTTAACAATTAAAACAAGATAACTAAAATTAACAAACAACAACACACTAAGAATAGATAACTGAGATAACGGTGTTCGAAAACTGAGCGATCACTAACGCATCCCAAGATGGAATGTCGTTTGTTCGTTATTATAAATTATTAACTATTTCAAGCAAGTCAAGTATTTTTGGTCGTGCCTCAAGGCCATAAAAAACCACGTGCAAACAAGAACAAACTAAAAAACGTAAAATGTTTACATTCCTTGAGGACAGCGGTCATTGCATCTGTGCGAGCGAGACGAATTATACTTACGCGGGAGTGACAGAGACAGGTAATAACAGGTCAATGAACGAAATTCTTCCTTCTTGGCGTCCGGACTATAGACGGTTTTTCGCCGGAGCTAAGCCCGGCGTGAAGCCGGGTCTACGTCCGGTCGTCAGTGCTGTATGGGGCGTATGGGGCACTACGAAGCTAACCACACGACGCGATGACGGCGCTAGCGCCGGCTCACCGCGCAACCTGACACGGCGCTCGCCGCGTCTACGTCCGGTGCGCAGTGGTTCAGTGTAATGGTTAAAGATGGGCGAAACTGTTATATTTTTCTAATTCGTTATGTTGTTGTAATATATTTTTCTAACTGTTGTTTTAAACTGTTATAATATATTATAACAGTTTTAAATATTACATTGTACACGCGGTTAGTTCAGTTCAGTCGTCGGCTGTGTTCGCGTTTTGTTGTATGTTGTTATAACGATTATAAATATTACGATGAAAGATTATTACGATTATAAATATTAGATGATTATAAGTATTATATGAAGACAAAAATATTTTTAAGTTGTATCAGCATCAATTAAGTGTTTCGTGTTTTAAAGAGAATCATTTAAAATATTTATGTTAAGTTCAATGAACTTCCCTTCCTACTTTTTATAGGCTTAAGGATGTCTGAATGTATGCTAAGCTGTGTAATTTTTGTATCTGTTATAATTATTTACTTATATTTTCAAAAAATTTACTTTTTTAAATAAATAATTAATTTTTAAAAGAAATAAATAACTCATTCAGGCGTAGTTAGAAGCTCATTGATGTTACGTCATTTTGATTGAATTTTTACATTATTTACACTGTGGTCAAAGTTTTAGTTATCTACAATTATTTACATTTTTTTCAGTTACTATTCAAAAATATAATTTGGTTTACTTTTGACGACGTACTTAAGTCTTTTGCGTCTATCCGATATTAAATCCGAACGACAAAACTCTTCATACACTCCTACGTGTCTTTGCTTAAGGTGAAGCTTTAAATTTGTAATTGTACTTTAAAAAAAAATTGTTTTGCAATAATTGCACACTGGTTTTTTTTTCGTCCACACTTTGGACTATAAAATAGTTCCAAATGGCTGCGCTACGCTGGCGTGACATTATTATACACTTTTGCATACAACACGTTAAATCCTATCTATATTACACTAAATATTTAAAATTACTTTAGGAATAAAACTTAACGAAAAATAAACAAAAACAACAATAGCTTTTTCACGTAATATGGGGACCTGCTATCAAAACATTACGTATATAATTTAACAGATAACAGTGTCATTGTCATCTCAGCTAGATAGCTAACTGAACACTAAACTGATATATTATATATTACAACAG